ACCCCCACCCCAAAAAAACCAAATAAAATTTGTTGGTCTTCTCTTTCAGGGATATTTTAGTTATTTGCTAATTACAGGTAGAGGATCCATTGAGAAAAGTTTAAACTTCAGGGGGTTTGTGCAACACCCAAAATTAAAGGAAAATTTTGTGAGATAAAAAAGTTCAATGGGGTTTCATGAAAAAAAACCCAAAGCTCAGGGTGGTTTTGTGAAATTAACCGAAAGAAGAACTGTGATGAATCATGTACTGACTAAATGAGGTGGTGGCTTATATGTTGCTACCTGCCAAGTCTTGATCCGAACTCCATTTGTTGTACCATTCAAAATGGCCGTGTCCACCACTACATTTCTGACATGGGCCTTTGTGTTATATTTCCCTAAACTTCCAATGCTGATAACCATCAAATCACATGAAATAAGTAGCTAAAAGAAAAATATTAGAGCATCTCCAACAGCTTCCCCAAAATTTTCTCCAAAATGGAGAAACAAAAGTCATATTCTCCAAATTATTTTTGCTCCAACTCCAACAGCTTCCCCATTTTGAAAAATCGCATTTATTACAATAATAAAGCTCTCCCCAAAAATTTGGAGAATGCTGCAGATTTGGGGAAGGCTCCCTATTTTTTCTCTTCCTTCCCTATTTTGGGGAATGAGATGGAGAATCTGTTGGACCAAAAAAAAGCTCTATATTCTCCAAATTTGAGTATTTCAAGAAGATGGGGAAGCTGTTGGAGATGCTCTTAGTAGCACGCTTCTGATTTTTCAATAGGTATGAGTTTCAAACCTGATGCCATGACCCGGACCACAAGTGATGTTTCTGACTTCGATATTCTTCGATCCAGACACGATCGATACACAATCGTCACCTATAAATTCACCAACTCTTTTATCTTAGATAAGAATTGATCTGAAAAGATACGGCGTGTTTGATGTATCACCTGTTCTGATTTTGCAATTTCTTATGATCACGTTCTCCGAGTGTGTTACATGAATCCCATCTGTGTTCGGGCTTTTCTCTGGTGCCTTTATCAAGAGTTTCGAGACTACAACCTTTTTCGATTTCTCTATTACTACATGCATCTGTTGGCTATCTTTAATCCTCAGGTTCTCCACTCTCAAGCGTTTGCATGCACTAAAGGTCAAAGCCTATGAAGCACAATATAAGCTATTACCATCTCCCTTTTCTCTTGAATTGTGAATATAACGTTATCAAATGAGCGATGAACATACCGTTGGTGCACCTGTGCAGGGCTAAGCAAATAAGAAAGAATAAAGCAGGATTACTTCAATCATCGATAGAAAGAATCAGATATCAGGCAAAATCAACTAATAAATGAAGAATTAAACGATCACCAGGGCTTCATTCTTCTTGCAAGAATTTTGCCACCATATACGTCCATTACCGTTGATGATCCCTCCACCTGTGACTACTAGCTTCTTTATATTATCGAAGACGATCCAGTGCCTTGGGTCGTATTCATTCCAATTTGACGGATTTAAAGAAGCTTCAATTCTTCCCTTGATCTGATGTAGAATTAAGAATCAAAGGAGATATATATTCATGTAACTCAAGTTACTAAGGAGTTAGTCAAAAACCTTTGAAAACTACTCAGAAACTCCTCAAGAGCTTATGTAAAATATTCATTAAATATGAGATACCTAGCTAATGAGTTATGTTAGATTATATCTCACCAAAAATTTTACATTAGACTTGCAAGGGCCTGAGAAATTAATTGGCTTGAGAAGGTATTCTCTGTTCTGAGGAACCATAAAGACAGATGAAATAGAAGACGAACAGGTTTCTTTCCAAGCTTTCACAAATGCCTACAGTAACATAAACATTAAAAAAATATTACTAAAAAAAAAAAATCTTATTAAAACTTCTTATAAATATGTAACATAAAGAAAATGCAGTTCAAATTTCCGAAGATTTACCTCATTATCATCAATAGATCCATTGCGTCTAGCACGAAAATCATCGACGTTCACCACTCTTGTCCTGTTGAGACCCTCAGCTTGGATATTGTGAATGTTGAGCAATAGAATTGAGAGTATAAGAAAGAAATATTGACTCATTTGTTGTCAATACAAGTATTGAGAATGCTAAGAAACTTGTAGGACTCCTTTTTCAAGCATTTATATAGAAGAAGCAAATGGTATGTTTCATTTTGGAGGTGGAAAGCAATTCTTAACTGCCAATGTCAATTAATGTTATTGTGGTTTCTATATGTTAGGTAGTCTCATGTTCTTTAAATAAAGGGAAAATCCTCTTTTAACCCAAAGTTTTACCCCAACTTATTTAAAAACCCATTCACTTTTCAAAACATCAATAGACCCACAAAATCACATCCCACTTATTTTTAAACCCAAATGTACAATACACCCATTATTTGTACTGTATTTATCCAAAAAATTTGAAAAACCCTAAACTACCCTTCATCCCCAACTGATCTCTCCCTCTCCCCTCCTCCTCCATCTGAGCTCAGAAGAGATCTCTCCCTCTCCCCTCCTCCTCCTCTTCCCTCCCTTCACTTCCCCTCAACCACTACCACCAACCTCCTCCTCTTCCCTCCCTTCACTTCCCCTCCTCCCTCAAGCCCATCAACCTCTGCATCCACTGCCCCTATCTCCCCTCGCCGCCACGTCACCCACCACCGACGACCTTGAAGTAGATGAATAGCCCACCAATGATTTCGACATTGACTCCCTGTAGTTCGCCCATCAACCTGAAGCACTTGTCATTGCCGCCAGTGGACGGAGCTTGAGGAGCACTCGGAGTAATAAATGAAGAAAATTAACGGGTGCAAGGCTAATGGGTTTGTATACGGACCCGACCCGGATAGTCCGTTTTGAGATGGGCTTTGGTCGTTTCATATTTCCATAAGAATTAAAAGGTCATATTTCTAAATTGTAACAGTTCATTACTTTTTGATGGTTTTAAAATAATAATGAGTGAAGTATAAAAGGTATGGTGTAAGTTACATTTATCAGAAAAAAGTTACATTTATTTGGGAGGACAACCACGCTTAAACCAAACTTTAATCCCCTTAATTGTAACTGCCACTCGCAGAATCATTCTCCCTTTAAAAGAGGGAGCACTGGAAAAACTTTTATTTCCCAAAAATACCCTTCATCTTTTATGAAATTAACCAATTTACTCTATTATCATAACTCCCAATCTTATTAAATCACATTAATTAAAGGTTTATACTATAGTATAACTATTCTTTAGATTATTAAATAAAATAAATCTAATATAATAATTAAATTAATTATCATAATAGTATTAGATTATCAAGTGTATGTTGTTTTAATATACTATAGGAATTATTATTTATGTAATAATGCAACTCCAATTAGATTATACTAGTACAAATTTATATTAAACATTAGATTTTTAATAGTATAAGTTTATAATTAAACATTAATTTTTTAGTGCTTATCAGCTGCAAATAACGTTTATATCTCATCTAAAGTGGTTTTAAATAAAAATTAAAATAATTATTTATGTAACTCTAATTAAATTAATAAATTAATCATTATTTAATCGACTTGTTAACAATAACTTGGTGTTTATGTGCGCATATGTAAAGGCATAGATGAAACGTTTTATTCAGACTTCAATAGTTTATAGTGTCTGAGAGACACAAACCAAGATAGAAAATAGTTCACACTTCTCTAATTCTACCTTAAGTAGTCCCCACAAAACATAGATTTTCTAATGAGTGAAAATTTGATGTCTCTCTAATGGAAACATTTCATAAAGAAGAAAATTAACAGTTTAGAAAGCTTCTTTTCGTGTATTAACACCTTTGACAAGTGAGCTCCTCTTGATACCTCCAACAAATTATCACGAACCCCTCCAACTTCCAGCTATTTTGTTTCACTCCCTATATAGTCTCCTTCCTAGGGCCCCCTCTACCACTCTTCATATAATAAATACTAGGTCAAATCAAATGATTAAAGTATCTAAGTTCTACTCCCCCCTGCTACTCTTCTTTGCTCTGCCAATGCAAGGAAATTGAAGGAAGACGGGGAGTTCAAATACTAGAAGACTTGCTTCTGCCATTGAGGCAAGCTCGGTATTAGCGCTGAGGTAAATTTGATGAAAGTGGTTGTAGCGAGCTTGGCAATTTCGGTAGTAGGGGCCGGAGATGATGTCAGAGGAGGTGGAGAAGCTGGGTTCGATGGGTAATTGTGGTTGATTCGATAAAGATGGTGGGTCTGACAAAGGAAGTAGTGGTAAGTAATTCGATCGAGGAAGGGGATGTGGATTTGGAGGTGGTGATGAAGGTTTTGATGGAGAAGGAAGGTGTCGGAGGAGCTCATGATGAAGTTGGGACATGAGTTTCATCCATTCACATTTTTAGTACTTCTGTGCATAGATAAATGCATTTATATTATCTAAATTGAAGTTTCAGAGTGGTGTGTGTTGTCATAATTGGAGAAACTCATTTCTTAGTCACATCTCTTTGTTTTTTTTCATCTTATATATTTGGGGTAAATTGAGACAAAAAGATTTAGGAAAAAAGATAATTTCACAAAGAGAGACTCTTTGTGTGCAATATCACTGAATCTATTCTTTAATGCTAAAATAACTTTGTTACGTATCATTTTCTTTAAAATGTATAGTTCTAATTATGTTGATGTGTTTCATATAAAATTTTGTGCTACTTATTCTCTATGGTTCACTGAAGATCCTAATAAAGGACAACAAGTGTATCTACATGCATACATACATAAACTATATCCCTTCAAATTTTCACATAACATCCAATCTTATATTTAGTATAGTTAAATATATAATTATGAACTATAGTATAAAAAGTTTATACTGAAGTTTAGATATTAATAATTAATGAACTTTATATCTATATTATATTATACATTATGCTATAATTATAATTATAATCAAACAAATATGTACACCTAAAATTAATGTATGATATAAATAATTACCATAGTTTGATATCTCTATATTATACTAAATTTTATATTTACAGTGTATTATACATAAAAGAAGAATGTATACTAAAATATATTTTAATATATCTTTATGTAACTATACTATAATATATTTTATAGACTATACTATAACTTTGAATGGTACATTTGTTATAACCCAAAGCATATTGTTATGGACGTGGATTAGCACGTAAAGCCCACTACAAACTTGAATGTTTGCATGGCTTTAATGTCTAATAATACATACTAAATGCAATAGGAGTTACATTTTGTTATTAGTCTTTATATGTCATTCAGTTATTTTGGAATGATATCCAAGAGTCACTTTTTTAGTAATGAATTCTGATAGTCTTCATTTGTAGCTATAAGTACTCTAAGCATATGATGAAAAAAAGCAGATAGTATACAATCTTTAGAGAAAATTATTATTTCACTTGCTTCTAAATTTTTTTTCTTTTAGGAACTGCAAATGATGAGGAATTTCGATATAGTTCATATCAGGTTCATATAATTCGTCTGCCTTCTTCTGATCCATCATGATAAATATTAGTCGACTTTATTTTGTCGCTTAATTTAATCCCATGTGATTTTTGGGTACTTTAAGGGAATTTTTAGGATCTGTAAGTGAAGAAAGATTACACGGTTTTTATATGTGTTGTATCTGAATAATTTCATCTTCTTTACTTCATAACGTGAGTTAAATTACATGCTCATTCTTGAAAAAAAAATTATAGTCTAAACCAGAGTTGAATACTTTGAGAAGTGAGGCTACTTGAAGATTGAAACTAAGGTTTGTGAGAAGTTCCCATACTTAACCCCTTAAACTTTCAATTTATTATTTATCAATAAGAAATTCGAACTAATTAATCTTATAATTAACATTCTCTCAAAAAAATTCACGATTAGGCTTTTCAACTCTCCTTGGCTCCAAATTAATGAATAAGTATTCGCTGACGGCAGCCATGTTGTCTCCAAAAAACTGTTCAGATCTCCCTCATTTAATGCTCCTCGTGACTCAGCAAGACCTGTTTCATTTCACTTAGACTCGGCCTAGGCCGACTTCAAGTAAAAGAGGCCAACTGTTATAGTTGTTTTAGTGCAAAAAAGTAATCTCTAACCAATAATAGACAATTGTCCCGCATTATGCGTAATCAAGTCAACTCTTCACTTTAAGATAACCAAAGACCCAGCTCGAATGACTCAACCCATTGACATCTTGCGAGGATGACTCAAAAGGTGTTACATATCAACTCCTAGCTGGGCCGACTTATTGACCAACCTACTCGACTGACCATTCGGCCGACATCTCGTGAGGGTGACTCAAAAGGAGGTACTTTTCGACCTTCTACCGGACAAGTAGAAAAGCAACGAATACCTCGAGGCTTGAGCCCTCTCTCGTGTACTAACAACCAATCACCTCGTAATAAATGCCATTAAATGCATTATGGACGCCATCATCTGCCCATCATTCAAATGCCATTAAAAGTTATCATCCTACCCCTCTACTACCACTATAAATATGGGTACTATTTTGAACATTAAGAGAAGATCTTTATCTCTACCCACTGTGCTTAAGAACTTCTACATTTCATTTACTTCTTCACTTAAGCATTTTACTGACTTGATCATTGGAGGAACAACCGGGGAACCCAACCCTGTCCGCTTACGATTTGCTACCTGTACAGGGAAGAGCAGCCTATTTCAGAATCGGAAATTCCGAGAGTTAGAGGACCTCCGTCAACTAAATTGCTTCTCTCATTGACTGTTTGATATCAACCATCAACAACATTTCTTTCAAACTACAAAAAAAATGTAACAACTAATAATTTATGATGATATTTATCCAATGTTTACAAAGAATGAGAGCACGAACAAACAAGTTCGTTTACTTGCATTTCAAATTTTCTGCTCACAAGGATGAGGAACAACTTCACCATTTCCAAACCAATCAACATGGTTGCAAGAACTCTCGGTGTGCTTCCCATCTTCTCGTACTAAATTTATATCCTGCAACGTAATCCCTCGACATGGGACACTTCTGCTACAATTGAATTTCATAGACACAAAAGATGCACTCGTTCCTTTGATGTTCTTGTATACCACGCCGCTTATTGCCACAGCTTGAGTCTGAAATCAAATGAAAGAGAGAGTTGATTGATGAATGAACGGAGAAGATAAAGGAGAGTGTAGCATGGTTACTTACTTTTTCAGGACATGGCTCTGTGGAGTCACAGTAGTTCTGATCAATGATTATTGGATTGTGAACATTGCGCACGTAAATATTTTGAAATATGATTCTTCTTGCATATCCCTGGCCTCCCTGTGTATTTAAGCAGAAGATGAAGGTGACTTACAAAATAAGATTTGTGGATCAAACTGTACATCAAATATTGGGTTTTTTCGATATTAGTCACTCGAATGTTCAATATTTTGGAATTAGTCCTGCAAATCATTGAAATTGATATCAGGTCCCAAAAGTCTTGTAAATTGCTAGTGTTACTTTTAATTGGAGGGATTAATTTGAAACAATTTTATAACAATTCGGGAAAACTCTAGCAGTTTCAATGATTTGAGGGATTAATTTCAAAACAAATTATAATAATTGAGGGACCTAATAGAAATTTCAATGATTTGATCAAAATATTAATGAGTTATAGGACTAATAACGAAAAACCCAAAATCGTTATACAGTCCATTTTTAGATAAGTATTATACCCAAAAGCTCAATCCCATGAACTAGGCAATAACAATTTGTATTTGGAAATCTTTATATCGCGAAGATAAAATTCTGGTTATCAATATGCCAGTATTAAATCATATCCATGTCTTGGAAATCTTTATATCGCGAAGATAAAATTCTGGTTATCAATATGCCAGTATTAAATCATATCCATGTGCACATCATGTACTCGGTATAAAATTCTGGTTATCAATATGCCAGTATTAAATCATATCCATGTGCACATCATGTACTCGGTTAGACCCTATATATTGTTTATGCCTTCAGTAGAGAAACAGAATGTTTTTATAAGAGTAAATTGCAGATAAAACCCCCTCATCTATACCTTCAGTAGTCCCTCGACTCTTTTATAGCACTTACCACCCCTCAATCAAGAGGAAGAGGGGGTTATCTGTGATTCAAATGTCAATCCAGGGATAATAAATGCTTATAAAAGTCTTGGAAGGGTGATGGTAGCTATTGAAGATATAGATGAGGGGGTTTACACAATTAACACATTTTTTGTAAATAGTTGTTTAAGTTACCTGCCAGGTTTTGATTCTGACTCCATTTTGAGTACCATGAAGTGTAACTGTATCCATGAAAACATTGCTGACACGGTCCCTGGAGTTATTAGCTCCTAAACTTCCAATGCTATTCACCATAATAAAACACAACTGTGTAAATATTGTGTGTTAAATTTGCAAGGTTTGAAACTGGTAGGAGTCAAAAGTATTGTACCTGATTCCATGACCTGGGCCACAAAATAAGTTCATCCCTTTAACGTTTCGAGTCCCGGATACAATTGAAACACAGTCATCACCTAAATTCATAAGACATTCACATCAAGAAAAAAAATTGATCAGGTAAAAGTTAGGATGAATATTGTTGACTAGATTTATTGCCTGTTCTAATTTCACAAAAAAAATTGATCAGGTAAAAGTTAGGATGAATATTGTTGACTAGATTTATTGCCTGTTCTAATTTCACAATCGCTTATGACAATATTCTGCGTGTTGCCTGTTCTAATTTCACAATCGCTTATGACAATATTCTGCGTGTTGGCTATATGAATTCCATCTGTATTGGGACTCTCATCTGGTGCATTTATTGATAGAGTCGAGACTTCTACATCTCTACACTTCTCAATGGACACATGAATCTGTTGGCTATCTTTTATCCTTAAATCTTCAATCCTCAAACCTTTGCAGCCGAAAAAGGTCAAAGCCTGTAAAAATAATTAAAACGTCTCATTATATGATACAACACTTTCTTTCTCTCTTACTCATGCCAAATTAACCATGAACGTACCGTTGGTGCAACTGTGCAAGGCTGAAAACACAAGAATGTTGTGGGAAAGAAAACAGGTTAGTGAGCTATCACAAAGAGATCAATAAAATCAAATTCATCGTATTGTATGGTCATCACCAGAGTTCTATTGATCTTGCAAGAATTTTGCCACCATATCTTGCCATTGCCGTTGACGGTTCCACCACCAGTGACGACAAAATTTCTCAAGTTGTGAAACATAATCCAGTGTCTAATACTCATACCATCCCAATCCGAGCGATTTGATGAAGCATCTATTGTGCCTTTGATCTGATATAAAATTCAAAAAATTGATTATATCTTACTGATTTCCTAAAGGAGAGAAAACAAAAAGGTTGGTGCACACGATTATGTACCATCATTGTGATATCCGACTTGCAAGGACCTGAGAAGAGGAGTGGCTTCAAGAGGTAATTCTTGTTGGCAGGAACAACAACAGTAGCTCCGAAATGAGACGAACAAGCTCTCTTCCATGCCTTTTCAAAAGCCTATAAATAACAAAAGAACAAAAGAACTTTTATATAACTTGATGAATGCAATTTCATGAAAACATACTTAATCATACCTCTCTGTCATCGGTAACTCCATCTCCATACGCACCATAATCATCTACATTCACGACTTCATTCGAATGTTGAAGATGAGTAATACAACTTGCCACTAGATAGAAAGAAAGATCATGAACAAGAATAAGCAAAAGGGACAATAAGAGGAAGCTTAATAGACCCATTTATTGTCCTATGAAGACAAGACAAGTAAATTGGTTAGATGTTGGTACAGAATCTTGTCATGTCGAGCTTATATATGTGAGCAAGTAGGGGGATGTTTGTTTTGAACATGAAAGAGAGTTTGAAGCAAGATATGACTCATAGTTATGGAGTGAGAAGGAGATTGAGACGAAAAGTTTTCCATTGGCCGGTTGCCTACCTACATCTGACGATTCTCATGTCAGCTAGAATTACAGAAAAAAGAATGATACTTTCTAGTTTGCTAAATAGCATTTATATACCCTATTGTTCCATCTACTTTTCACTTATATACCCCCACTTATATTTGATAGCAAGAAAATACCCTAATGTCTTTTAAACTTACACTTATGCACCCTCACTTGTTTTTGGTAGCATTTGTGTACCCTAAAGTTATTAAAACTTGCACTTAAATACCTTACAGTTTTTAAATCTAACACTTAAATATTGTATTGTTGTTAAAACTTGCACTTAAATACCCTCAAGTATGCATGACTGAGGGTTTTATATGCAAGTTTTAAAAACTTTTAGGGTACTTAAATGCTAGTCGTAAAAACTTTAGGGTGTTTAAGTGCCGCCAAGAAAAAATGATGGTAAAGTGCAAGTTTAAAAACCTTAGGGTATATTTTTGCTACAAAATACGAGTTGGGGTATATAAGTGAAAAGTAGGTGAAACAATAGGGTATATAAGTGCTATTTAGCCTTTGTACTTTCAAACTTCTTTCACCCATCAGTTCCCTTATATGCCTGTGTTAGCACTAAAACATGTATTAAAGAGGAAATATATTGCACTCACCAAAAAAATAAAAAGAAAGAAAACTAATCGCACCTCAAAATTAGCAAGTCAAATAAAATTAAATAAGTTTATTCATTTTTCTCTGATTGAACAAGAAACCACTAGTGCTATTCAAGGCAGAAAAGAACCTCTTACCAAATCCCAATCTAATCCAAAAACGAAAGAAGCCTTGCAGAAGAGAATTACATTTAAATGAGATGCAATTTTACCAAACCAATCCAGCTCAACTAGAACTCATCTAATCCTAGTTCAATTAGCTTGAACTCAAGTATAAACTAATCAAAAAACAAACTAAATCAGTTCTAATCAAATAATTATTATGAAATCCTTCCAAATTGATGTTCTAAGCCCTAACCAATAATCCAAGCACTCGCGGAGGTTGAGATTTCAAGGATTGTGCACTTAAGCTTGGTTTAACCGATGACTTCTTTGCTAGGTGATGCAAGGAACTAACCCATAATTTACCAAACACAGAGTGGGGGAAAATGTTGATAAACCTATGTTTTTTTCTTCTTATAGAATTGGGTGACATTGTGGTTATAGGTCTTAGTTTGGATGGCGCCCTTTGTCCAACGCCTCAAGGACTTGCCATTTGGCTTAGTTCAGTATCCTTGGAAGGTATATCCTCTTACTCTTTTGTTTGAGGTTGATAGTGGAGAAGTCAATATACCAAAGTTATGGGCAGAATATTGTGCTTCAATGGATAAATAAACATATGACAAGTCACCTTTCGCCCAAAAAAATGGTAGCCTTGAGATACCAAATTGCTAGATGATGGTGTCCATAAAACTTGAATTGAAAGTAGACTTCAAAAAAAAAAAAAAAAAAAAAAAAAAAGAAAGTAGACTTCAAAAAAAAAAAAAAAAAACAAGAAACAGCACCCTCTAACTGCAGTTGGGAGTAACTTCTGGTAAATAAATGAGGAGTGCGTATCATCTCCCAAAAGAAATTCAGGATAGACAACAAGAAAGTAGCAGTTCCAACCAACCCACAACAGTAATATGAAAATGAGCTCAAACAAGAATCAGTTACATTCACTAAATAATACTTTCCATACAAAGAACATTAAATAAACAGCACATAACTCAGGATTCAACAGAGACCACCCAAAATGTTCTGTAAAAACACCATCTTTCTCATTACACTCGGGCTACAGAAGCCCTATTCAAGGACATATAAATATTTCAGTTTAGTAAACAAAAACTCAAAAAACCAAAACAGAGCACCCAATCGAAGGGTCTATCTGATGCAGTTTTGTCGAAACATCGGTATCCTTCCCTCTATAATATTAACACTTTAACAGTTGATTCCACATTGCTGGACATCAGGGCCAGTGACTCTAGTAGTGAAAGGATCAACCCTAACCCACAACAAGGAGAAGATCGAGGCCAGCAAAATAGACCAAACAACCACAATAGTCGGAGTTCTGTTCTGCCTTCCCATCAAACCTTTAAGAAAAGGGTATAGATGAACAATGACCCAGAAAGCAAAGAAGAGCTTCCCAAAGAGTGGACCCCATGACTGGTAACCGCTATTAATAGCATATGAAATGCCAGCGACGACACCCACTAAATTGACTATAAGGAGGGTAGTAGGAGGTATTAGTAGTGTCGTCCATTTGAACATGTATAGCTCGGCAAAGTCACCGTCCTCATCAGAGGCCTTCGAGGTGACAGTAAAGTTTGTGTCAATACCGGCAAGAACTTTAAGAAGCCCTTGGAAGACAGCAAAAAGATGAGCAGATACACCTCCTATGACCCAAAACTGTTCATTCCTCCACCATTCGTCGATCCCAACACCACTCCATCTCATTTCCAGTATACCAGTGGCAAAGATAGAGATAAAGAGAGAGATGAACCAAATACTGGCGATATTACTGATCTGTAGCGTATAACATATTCAAAATTCAGTATTTATGCAATACAAATGTTATATAATTAAGGGTTAAATTGCTGACAGACCCCCTATAGTAAAAAAGAAATAACTAAGGGGTGTATCCACACTTGGGCAAATGGTACAGGGGACCTATCCTCACCAATAGAACTAAGGGGTCTATCCCCAATTTAACTCTATAATTAAGAATAAGTAGGACTGCTGTGGCTCTCCATAATATTAGTTGGCGTGCTGCTGACATGATATACATCAAAACCATCGCTCTAACTTGGGTAATGTTGATTATCATGACCATAGGGGGTATTGATATGTGTCAGTCAACAGTATGGAGGGACACACCAACCTTGTTTACTCTATTATTAATGTAGTAGTCGATTTAAGGAAAGTACCTGAGGGATAATGAATTTTCCAGTAAGGAGGCAGATGGCTGGCAATGTACAGTATATAACGAGAGGAGATGGTGGTGTTAATGTACGCAAACCTCTCTAAGAATTTGAGTCGTCCTCCATATCCATACCATATAGGACAATGACGACTGAAGAGAATCTCAACAGATCCTAGAGCCCAACGAAGCACTTGGTTCAAACGATCTGACAAGTTAATTGGAGCAGATCCTTTGAAGGCAGGAGGATGAGGCATGCAGTAGATTGAACGCCAACCACGAGCATGCATCTTGAATCCAGTGAGAATATCCTCTGTAACTGAACCATAAATCCATCCAATCTGCAGCAGGATATCAACCACTTATGACCTTACTTACCTAGAAAGAAGGTAAACAAGAGCTATTCCAGCTCTACAGATTTAACTACACTTAGCAAATTCATGTACAAAGTTCAGAATAGCAGAAACCTAAATTAACGGTATCACTTTCTAATTGATGTTCTCAAATTTTCATGTCACAGCAAACTGGAAGCAGTAACTGCAAAGGGTTTCACTGTTCGGTCATAACTAATACAGCCATAGGAAATAAGAGATTACTGTATGAGCCAGGAGTTCTATACCTCTCTACCCCATTCCGACTTATCTTCGTAGCCACAGCTGATGACATGAATAGCTTCTTTCAGAAGTGATTCAGGGGTTGCTGATTGAGGTACACCACCATGTTCCATTAGTGTAGAGGCAACAAAGGCAGTCGACTGACCAAACCTTTTCTCCAAGCTCACTTGCGACATGAGCAGTGACTTCTCATCATCAAATCCAGCTCCTATAATTATAAATATCTCCAAGCTCACTTGCGACATGAGCAGTGACTTCTCATCATCAAATCCAGCTCCTATAATTATAAATAGCCAAAAGATGAGTTAACCTCAGGAAGAAACCCTAAACAAATCAGCAAAGTAAATAAGTAATATGCATTCCTCAAGACAAAGTAGAGAAGCTTGAAGCACATTAAAATTGGAACAAATAGCAGTATCACATAACTTCAAAATCACCAAATTGCTATATGAATATAAAATAGGTATGAGCGTACCTTCAACTCCCTCTTCTATGTCTTCCAGATTGAAAATTGGTACAGTATTGTCAATATGCTTGCTTGACCTTTTCTTGTCTGAACCTTTCTTGCTTGATTTTGAACTTTTCTTCCTAGAACCACCACACAATGAAGAGAAGAATCCACCCGCCTTATGCTTCTTGATAGGAGGCTCATAGCCATATAAAGCAGTTCTATTGAAAACACATCCTGTACCCACATAAACGGGGCCTTGGATGCCATCGAGACCTCTCAAATTAATCTAGAATGATAAGAAAACAAGGAAGAATTCAGAAAATTTCAGACCTTCACAGAGTTTTGTAATCAAACTAATTGTAAATCTTTCTTAGAATAAAAACAGCTAAAGTCTTTACAGAATTGAATTTGTTAAGATGAAATTTTAGTGGCACAAAAAGACAAATGAGGCATGCTGAGAGAATCATATATATAAATAAAAAAAACGTAGTAACGCCACAAACTTAAAAAGGAATTTTGAATCTCTTAGAGGACTATCCTTCTCCAAAATCATCGTTTCTTATGCAGTTGCATAAAAATGAGCCAAGTTGAAGGTGTTTTTTACTTGGAAGAGACTTTTTTCTTTTATAATAATGTATAGCTCAGGTGAAAGCATGTGTATGAAACCCTTACCTACAGTAACACTTGGGCCATATTGTAGCATACAAGCAAAATACCCCTAACACTATGGGCTTGATGAAAACTGATCTCATCTCATTAATAAAAAATGATAAAGAAATAAAAATCCTAGTTGACTTACATCAAAGAACACAGTATTACGGTTGGCGTATCGATCATTCCTGTCTATACCATCAAACCTCTGAGGAAATTGTACATAACAAACTGATTTGCCAAGGTTTGGATCCATAAGGAAACACATAGCTTCCCTCAATGCTTTGCTGTTGTTTATGTAATGATCGCAATCAAGATTCAACATATAAGATCCATTAGTAAGAACAGCCGACACTCGTACCTGTGTGCAAGTTAAAAACAGATTATCAAATGAAACATATAATAGCTTGCAGCTACATCACAAGTCATGACCAGTTTCTTACAAGAGCATTCATGGCACCAGCTTTCTTGTGATGTTGGAAACCAGGACGCTTCTCACGAGACACATAAACCAATCGTGGAAGCTCATTCCCCTCGGTGTCGAGCCCTCCACTGTGCCCTAAGAAAACCTGCAAGTCGTGGAAATCAAACAGAAAGGATCAGCTTGTAGAAATAATTCCTTTACAGAATAGGAACAACACTTATCACAGTAAAACAACAAGATCTTGAGCGAGTCAACTCTTGGACAGTGAAATTCAAGTTGGGTGATGGCTGGGTAAGTCGTGCATCAATACTCAAAAGGCAACAAGCTGACAGATACTATCCTAAGTTCTCAACTTCATCATATTATTCTAAATAATGCGTCAGAACACCAAAGGATTCAGGGGAAAATTTTGAAATTTTATATCATTGAAAAATGGTGCCAGTTACGAGCCAAATCATACCAGAAACGAAGCAAACAATTCAAGTTAGAAGGCAACCTGTATCATTCCGGGATGATCTCTGGTGTTATTTCCAGGCCAAGGTGTTCCATCTTGCATGATCCACCCCTCATCAGGAATTTTCTGTGCTTTTGCAACAAGGCCGTTGATACGAACTTTGAACTCTTCATATTCTCTCTGCATTATAAAAAGTGGTGGTAAGATGTGCACATGCAAGAGAAATAAGAGTCCAACTAAGATAAAAAAACTCAACATGCCAACACTTAGTACATACCTTCATTGCTCGGCGATCTTTGACAAATGAAGGATGAACTTTATCTTTCAAATAATCAATCTTTTGTGCAAAGTACCATTCAGGAGCTCGGGGTTCAATACTGTATTTCTTACTGAAAGGAACCCATTTTCTCGCAAATTCAGAGGTTTCTGCCAGTGCTTCAAATGTCAGCATGGCAGCTCCATCATCAGAGACATAACAAGAAACCTTGTCAACAGGATAATCCACCGAGAGAATTGATAGTACTGTATTAGCAGTAACTAGAGGAGGTTCCTTTAAAGGGTCAACAGTACTGACAAAAATGTCGACCGCAGCCAATTGAGAGGGTTCACCTTCTCTATCATACCTATTAAAATCAACGTAATGTATACACTAACATATTAAATAGCTACCTCGAGCAAACATAGACATGAAAATCTATAAACTAACGTCTTAATTAATAGGAAATTGCAACAGGAAATGTTTAAGAACTAAAAGCTAAAAGCAGATAAATTACCTTATAGCCAGTCTATCAAGATAAGTCTCTCGATTAATAGGAAACCACTTAGGAAACTGATCCAAGATCCACGATATTGCGAACCAGATCTCACAAATCACGGACAGTAACCACAAAGGAAATGCATTGCGCACGGGATTTGTGAGACGATAATGCAAGAAGATGCAAAGAATAACAAGACGCAGAATAATAACCATTCTGTATGGGTTTATACGGGAAGATGGAATAGACACTTTCCTTGAAAGAGGCTGGCGTGCTTCATCGTTCCTGCAATACAAAGGTAATATTTTGGAGAGATCAAATTGCAAGTGATAGAAAACACAATTAAGTACAATTGAAGAAGCTCTGCATACTAGAAGAGATGATTTTAACCACTGTGTAGACATAAAGGTTACAGTATATTGACCAAATTAATTATCCTAAGGAAGACCATATGAGCAAAATTTTTGCAGGAGATAGTGCACTTGTTTTCTTCTCAAAATTTAAAAGGTTGGACAATATATATCAGAATTAAACATCTTGCTCAAGCCATTGGGAATGCTTGGTCCGTTGTACGTAAAGTATGGTATACATTTTATAAGTGATGGGGCTTTAAATGGTGTTCTAGTAAGTGGTAATGTAGCTAGGCCATTTTAGTTCAGAAGTTGTGTTTCTGTGAACACAACACCATGTTTGGTTAGCTGTAAATACTAAGTCATGGAACTATAATGCTGATCTGTCGAATGGAGGGAAAAGTAAGTTTAAGCTTGAAAATGTGAAAAGCTTAAGCTTCCAGTTGCCATTTTAATAGTGATAGTCTATTTACATATAGCATAAAGGTAAACTAAAATTTTGTAAGATGATTTAGAATGTAAGCTTCAAAGCATGAAAAGCTTAAGCCTACATGTTTATGAATTTCATTCTTTGCACATAAATATCAAAATATCCAGATAATCCTCATTTATTATTAATGGAGGAAATGTCAACTTCAAACAGCATGACTAGGAAGCTTCCAATTCCAAACTCACCAGCAAATCTTTTTGGCTATTTTATTAGAAGCATGAAGAAATGTAGGGTGAAATTTTCCATCAACACAGGCATCAAGCAACTAAACATAATGAATTCAATTTAAGAGACAGTAAGATTACAAATCAAGGAATATAACTAAATGTTCCAGTTAAACACAGAATAATGTAGGCCTAGCTGACTCCATTTGATAGCTGAGAAAGGTACAATTTTCATGTAATGTATTGTATTACACTTTAAATTTTATTACGGAAGATCTATGGATATAATAGTTAAATTTTGTGTGTGAACTGAGACGTCCAGAAAGATGTAAAGCCATGTACTTCCCAGTGAGCAAGATTACCAAGTTCAAACATTAAATTATATTCATTATGTTCCACGCCAATGGAAAACTTACAGTAAAGCATCATCCATATTATAGTCTGTAGTTGCATCAATATCACCCACTCCCCTTCCTTCAGAAGGGGGATGGCTAGTACCATTAGTCATGGGAACTACGTTTTTATCCTGCTTCATCTTCCACCCATCAACCCTCTCCTTCCATGCAACATTGCCAAAACCCCCCGAAAACTCCCTCGATGGATTAGCTGGTTATAAAAAAGGAGGGAAAAAAACTCCCATAAATATGCATAAAAACAAATAAGAATTCAAGAATACACATAACAATCTTCAAAAAGAAAACATACGAGAGTGATTGACGCTTGGATAAGGGAGCGTATGCACACGATTCCCATTAACACCTCCTCCTGGAGACATATCAGGAGATGCTCCAGGCATTTCTCCAGAGAGCTGAAAAGAGCACATATATCCATTAAACCAAGTTTTTACAAGGTATTAATACTCATTCCATTTCCATGTACAAAAGGCTACATACTGCTTGGCTATGAGTGAGCAAAGGAATGTGAGTTCGAGGAATCTCCCCGCTATCGTATCTTGCTGCCCCAACATCCTCTCCTCTACCATAGTCCGCATGCCAGCTCAGCATCCTCTCAGCTGCATCATCAACCTCTCCATCATCCCTTTCTTCACCATGGATAAATGGGCTCCCTAATCAAACCACCATCGAACAAACAACAACTTAGACAATCTCCAATACAAGTTCACTTGTTTGAAAAGACAACTATACGATACAAAATCAGACCTTTATGCCTCTTGTACTTGGTCTTGCACTGAGGGCAAGATTGGTTGCCATCTTTCCTCTCATACTCATAGCACGGGCGGCACACGGGGAATCCACAGACATCGCAAGCAACAAAGAGATCTCCATCCGCCGTGGTGCCCACGCCATCGCTGCAGATTTGGCAGACCTGCTGGCTTCCGGCTGGCTTCCCGTGTTTCTTCAATTCAATCAAAATCAGCACTCAATCAATGCGAAAACAAACAAATTTGCGAACGTCTTACTCCAATTAAAATTAGACTTAGTAGCAACTCGAATTATAAATTGGAACTACATTTGGGATGAAGCACACGAAAGAATTAATCTTTTACAAAAGAAATACTGACCCCAGTTCCTCCGTCGACCTCCATTGAATCCTATCAGAGCTAATCAACAGATTCAAATGACGAAGAGCTTCAACCTCACCAGATCTATGAACAATTTGACTGCATGCCTAATAAAAATTAAAAACCCAATTCATAAATAAACACAAACTGAGAGATTCCAATCAATTTGACTAGATCTGACTAATCACCAACTTGTCCCTAAGGTGCTCGATCAATTGCCACACAGACAATGGGAATTCAGCTGATGTATTAACAATATTTCATAACAAAATCAGCTCAATTACAGAGTAAAGAACTGACCTTTGAGCATCAATTGCAAAAGAAATTCACAAAACTTGATGATCTCTCGAAATTTCAGTCAGCTCTCTCTCTCAGCTTCTAATAGGGGGAGAGAGAGAGAGGGATAAATATATAAATAAGAATAAGAAAGGGGAGCCCATCGTGAAAATAACGCTCTAACCATTAGGATGATTTTTAGACGGGTACTTAAGGTGAAATTCGCGTAATGGTCCAGTTAATCTCTGTATTTATATAAAAACACTTCAAATACTTTTTTTTTTGTGCTGCCAGAGAACATTGTTTGCGAAAATGAATAAGAATTGAATTTTTAAACATTTTTCTACCGTTGTGACATTTTTATCTTTGTAACTTTTTTATTTTTCTGAACAGTCATAAATTGAAAGTTGATGGATAGAAAAAATATTTTATGAATAGATAAAAGCTAAGAACTTTTTTTTTCGGTACTCAAGCACAACTGATTAGGATTAAACTTTCTGGTGTGAAAGTAGATGCATACAGAATAATGAGATTTTTTTAATATTTAACAACTATTAGTTTAAAAATAAAGTTTTATAATAACAATTTAAGATGTCTAAGAGATATCCATGATTGTAAAAATCATTTATGCTTAGTTGTAAATGATGCAATTGTCTGAACTTTTATGCAAAATTTCTAGGGCCAATATCTAACGCCTATATTTTAGCTGTGAATTTCGTCGGCTAGTTGCCGAGATAGAAGAGAAATGGAACGAACTTCAGGGACTCCATGTATTGCACCCAAATTTAAACCTCCGTGTGTAGTATGTGGACCCATCCTGCCGATAGTGGGTGAATTTGTCAGTTGGTACGTTATTTTTTTATGCTTAGCTGGCAGTAGCGAGAGAGAGATTACAGCTGTCTTCGGTGTGCTAGAAGACGACCGACACTGCTTCTGGCGGAGGGTATTTTTGTCAATATGCTTGGTTTGGACGTACTAACTGCTCTCTCTCTTCAGACTCGTGTGAGTTGACAATGAACTTGGGCCTTCGGTGGATATAGTACATAAAGCTCATTTTGGCCCAAAAACTTTCAAGTAGGTTATCGAGATACAGAGAGAAAAGCTATTATGCTTGTTGTGAAATTTGAATTAAACTAATAATTTTTTAAAAAGAGTATGAGATTTTAATTATAAGATAAATTGTTTTTTATATTTATTATTTATCTATATACAAAATCTATTGGGGTTAGTACCGTAGCTTAGTATTATTCATTCTACGGAACACCCTTATAGATGATTGTTAAAAGAGACAATAGGTGATTTTTATTTGCAAGCCCAATGTTCAACCTAATTTGCTATAAGTCCACCACTTCAAAAATCCATCTCAAGTACATAATGCTCACTAGTTTGAAGCTTTTCTCAACTCCTTAACATCAGTTCAATATAATTAAAAATGATAATAAATAAATAAGCTTTTTATCTATAATAAGCTAACTTAATTTACTTTTAAGTCCTCCCACTTAAAAAATTAATCATAAACCCGAAAATACTCCATCAACGCTAATAATATAATATAATAATATAATATAATAATATAATGAAGGACCATATAAAGATCATCAGTCTTTGACCTAAAATACTCTATTGAATTACTTTTAAACTTAATTTATATTTCATAAATTTGTTATATCATAAATTGCAAACTGTAGATTGATTATTTAGCTATAAATCTTATTCTTATTTATTTTCAAACATGCCCATTACCATGATTTTATTATTATAAATCTAAAGTATTAGTTATATTTATTTTTAGACTACACACCTTGAAAATCACTCTTAGAGTAAAAAAAAACTACAGCAACCTATTTTTAAGCTCAACTTGTGACGGTTTTGTACATCTGGTTTAAGTTGTTATATTCCACTTTGACTTGCTATATTTCTTTTCTAAGAATCTAGGTGTACGGTTTTTTAGACCAAATGCATAAGCATTATTTTAGGTTTTTTCCCCATTGTTGCAATGTTGTAAATTGTAGGTAAGATTTTTCCTATAAGTTCAAGGTTTTATGCTCATTTATTTTTAAATTCATCCACTTTACAAAGGTTTTTTTTTTCTAAATCAAAGTATTTTGATAGTTTTCTATACATGTAAGTTGTTATATTTCATTTTAACATGTAAATTTTTGTTTTAAGTGGTTAGGTAGAGTATGGATTCTATCAGAACACCCTATCTAACAGGGTAATCTATACCACTCATGGGTGGCTAAATGGTTAGTTTGTAAATTATGGTTATTCTATTTATGGTATAAACCACCTCACTTTTATAGGTGTGATTTTCGTAGAAATCCTAATGTTTTTGTACAACATGTATTTATAAATAAAATACTTAACAATGTTGTATTTTTATTTTTATTTTCCCATGCCAATGAGGCGGCATCAAAAATATTTTTTGTGTATAAACTCAAAATTTTAGCCTATTGCCTTTTTAACTTACTCTCTTCCTAAAATGAGTTATTGTGCATACGCCCAAAATCTTGCATTCATTTATTATTGAAGTCACTCACCTCAAAAATCACGCTTGAGATCCAAAATATTCATTTGAACAAATCTTAAACTCACTTTACATTTTCACCACTCATCATATGTGAGTATATGTTGTTATAACCTTGTATATTTTCGTTCTAAATCCAAAGCCATATTATTTATTTTTAAACTCACTCATTTCCAAATCTACTCTTAAACACAAAATACTCAACATTAATTTTAAATCTATTTTGTATTACAACTATTTGGTATACATTGTGAGTCATTATATTTTTTTTGTTTTAAGTGGTCAGCTACTCCGTATTTTTGAACTAAATATTTAATCCATAAAGTTTTTTTTTTTGCCCTAAGCCTAAAGTTCCTCTCTATTTTTTGAGCTCACTCATATTCATAGTAATTTTTATCTTTTATTTTAGATTTTTTCATGTTAATATCGCAGCATAGTGAACTTTAGATGTGCGATTTTTTTGCTTCATTTATTTTTAAACTCACTCACTTTTTAAAAAAAAATTATCTCTAAACCGAAAGTTTTACATTTGTTTGCTTTTAGACCCACACAATTTCTAGATCACCTAGATTCTTACATAATTAAAATAATTAATTTAAACTATTGTATGTTAGAATTTTTTGTATCATTATAAGATGTTGTATTTTACTTTAGCTTGCTATTTTATTCAAAGTATTAGGCATATAATGTATTTTTAGGTCATATACTTAAACTATATTTTTTGACCGTTTGCACGCAAATGTCGCGGCAACGAGTGGGTTAATTTTGCTTGTCTTTATACTAAATCTATTGGTGTTAGTATTGTAGATTGACATTATTCCTTTTATAGTACACCCCAATAGCTTATTGTTAAAAGCGATGATAAGTAATTTTTATTTACAAATCTAATGTTCAAAACAATTTTCTTATAAGTGCACCACTTCAAAAATCCATCTCAAGTATATAATGCTCTTTGAATTTGAAAAGTTTCTCAACTCCGCAACACCAGTTCGGTGTAGTTAAAACTAATAATAAATAAATAAGATTTTTATTTATAAACCCAATAAGCTAACCCAATTTACTTTTAATCCCACCCACTTGAAAAATTAACCTAAAATACTCCATGAACTCTAATAACATAATATAATAATATAATGAAGGACCGTATAAAGATTTTTTTGCTATAAACCCAAAATTCACTAATTATTTTTAAATTCACTCACTTCATAATCAGTCTTTGACCTAAAATACTCTAATGGATTACTTTTAAACTTAATTTATATTTCATAAATTTTAATATATCATAAGTTACAAGTCACTTACAACTATATATTGGTTATTTAGCTATAAATATTATCCTTATTTATTTTCAAACATACATATTGCAAGAAATTTTTATTATAAATCTAAAGTATTATATATATTTATTTTTAAACCATACACCTCAAAAATCACTCTTAAAAACTACAACAACCTATTTTTTAAACTCAAGTTGTTATATTCTACCTTGACTTACCATATTTCTTTTCTAAGAATCTAAGTGTATAATGTTTTAGACCAAAATGCTTAAGCATTATTTTAGGTTTTTGTCCACATTGTTGCAATGCCGCAAATAGTAAGTGAGGTTTCTCATTTAAGTTTAAGGTTTTATGCTCATTTATTTCTAAATTCACCCACTTTACAAAGATTTTTCCCCTAAATCAAAAGTATTCTAGCAGTTTTCTATACATATAAGTTGTTATATTTCATTTTAACATATAAATTTTTTCTCTAAGTGGTTAGGTGACACCCCATCCAGTAGGATAATCTGTACCACTCATGGGTGGTTAAATGGTTTGTTAGTGAATTATGGTTATTCTATTAATGTTGTAAATCAATCCACTTTTATATGAGGTGGTTTTCATAGAAATCCAAATGCCTTGGTAGTGTATTTTATAAATCAAATACTTAACAATATTGTATTTTTTTCATGCTAATGAAGTGGCATTGAAAATATTTTCGTGTTTTGTGTATAAACTTAAAATTTTAGCTCATTGCTTTTTTAACTTACTCTCTTCCTAATAGGAGTTCTTGTGTATTGATATAATTCCAGAACCAATTATGAAGTTATACTCTGCATGTGTTGATTCTCACCCATTTATTTCGAAACTAGATGAAAGCCGGATTATAGATGGCTTATGCCTTATTCATTTCATGGCTGAAGCAGAAATTCCGTGGATTTGTACTTGGTCATTTGAAACAACTTATACTGTTTCACATCTACCAATTTTATAAAGAAAATTTTATTATAGATGGTGGAATGGCATCTGTCTAAAAGAAAAAATAAAGCAGATAAAAGAAATTATTCAAAGGAATACTGCTATTCTTGAGACTAATATGACTCAAGAAATCCAAAAAGAAATTCTAATGCTAAAAATAGAAAAAATGATACGGAAGAAATATCCTCAGAATTCTGAATCAGAAATTCAGCAGAAGTGCTTAGAATACTTTAAAAAAACAATTTTTGAGGCTTTTGATACTATGATACTAGAAGTCAGAATTCTATGGAAGATACTCTAATACAAGATGCTCAAGACCCAGATGATATGTGGGTCGAAGCAATATGAATTCTTGAAGTCAACGTGCCAGACCTTAAAGGAAAGAGTCCAGCTTCATAA